AATTGAGAGGTATGGAGGAAGTTTGATAGAGGTTTTCATACTCTCTAAAGTTTATGGAAATGAGTGAAATATGGTATGTAGTTATAAGATAAGTGAGTGAAATCAAAAATAGGGGTGAATGATGCAATTACAATCGAATTCGTGCATACCTACCTCATGAGCAAAGGGTGATCACATGTGCATCAAAACTCATTCAAATAATGCGTATTGAGACTCTAAATGATTCAAATATCTTTGATAATCATGTTTAACTGAAAATCACGTGGTAATTTGGTGATTAGATGTCATATTTCACAAACTCACTTCTGACTTCAAGTGATTTTTTCAATTTCAAAGCATCAACTTTACAACCATGGTGCAAACAACTCAGGGACCTTTATGATGCAATCTTGGATTTTTTAGAAAGTTGAATGATCAAGCTTGAAAATATGCTTTGGAAGTTTCCATTTGGATACTTGGGCTAAGAGTTATTTCCATTTGAATTTGTGAAAAACACACTGATTTTTGTACTTAGAAATATTTTTAAGTGTTGAGCTTCAAAATGACCTATATTGTTCTTCAAAATTACATGTTCTTCCACTCAAAATTTGATCTTGATACTTGAAGATGAAATGAAGTAGACCTCTTGAATTGAATTTTGGAATTTAGATCACTCAAAAATCATAAAAATTGAAAGAGTTATAGTCTTTGGAAGATGATGAACAAATTTGGGGAAATTCACAAAAGACCTATAACCTTTTCAATTCGTAAACAACTTTCCAAACATTTTCAAGTCTTGCATATTGAAACAAAGTTGTAGTAGACATCCAAAATATTATTATATAAAAAGAATGAGTTCAAGAAGATAAAAATTGACCAAGCTATGATCCTTTGAAGTCACACAAGAGAATTTTATAGCTTTCCCAAAGGACTTGTAATCTTTCTCAACCATTAGTGACTTTCCATTCAAAATTAGCCTTAGATCCTTGAAGAGAACTTGTTAAGTACCCTTTAAAAAGAATCATGATTTTGAAATCAATCAAAAATCTCAAAAAATAATAAAGATATGGTCCTTGGAAATCAGCAAACCCTAGCTCAGAGAGTGTCAAAATGACTTGAAACCCCTTTCAACTTTTGATGATTTTTCTTGCATAATTGGATATTGTCATGTGAAGAGAAGTTATTATAGATGATTATAAGAACCCGTGGCATAAATAACCAATTCAAAATATTGAAAATTTAGAGAGTTATGCACTGGTGATCACGAATCAAGCACTTGCTCAATTAGGTCAAACTTGTTGAATCAACCTTGAATCTTTTGAACTTTATTTGAAAAATAGAGCATGATGGATCACATTAGCCCTTGAAATTATGTTGTCTTGAAGAACACTCAAAGTTTGAGCTTAAGTCTTAATGAAACTTATTGAATAAGGCATGGAAATAAACACATGAACCTATGAATCTTCTTGATGAATACCACCACCATCCTTAAGGAAAACTTGACCTAAATAAAGTGAGAGAGCTCTTTGAACCAATAACTTTGATATCATAGACATAGTCTTGAAGCTTGAGCTCTTGCCACCCATTTAAGAACCATTTGAGTAAGGACCACCCTTCAAACCCTACATTAGATGGTGAGATGGATGTAATTGTGTCATCACCTATAATATGAACATTTAAAGAAACATATATACATATTTTGATGTTAGTTAAAATTTAATCCACCTAAAAACACATGTACAAGATACATAATTCAAGGTGCTTGGTGATCCCTCAAGAGCAAACTTAAAGATGGGATGGAGTAGAAGGGACAACCAACCCTAATGTGTCATCTTGATGTATTGATAATATGAGAAGATGAGAGATCTTATGGGCAAAAATTGGGATATAACACATAATACTTCATAAAGTCTAGTCATGCTTCATAGTTCATACTCATAAACCAAACATCTCGAGTACCACGTAGGGTGACTCAACATCTTAAACAAAATAAATAACATAAGTTCCAATCATTTGACCCCAACCCCAATGTTATATATCAAAGCAAGACTCCCTTTATTCAACAAAAACGAATAAACGCACTCTGAAGCTATCCTCTAATGCTTCTACGGACTATTATCAATCACCTACGCGTTATCCACCTAGAGGCAACATTCAAACAGAAAGGGTGAGTAAATCGTAATCATTACACATAAGGAATAGACATAGTAAATATGCACATAAGCAAAGCATCACACATCATCATATTCTTCATGTTATACTCACACCTTCACAACCTCATGATTACGCGAACACATATCATCATACACAATATATCATTAAGCATCACAAATAAATCATTATGCAATGTCACTTAGAATGTAATGCAACATCATAGACTCATGCATGTGGTACCAAAACTTCATATATGACTCAGTGATCGTTATCTCCATAGAGCCCCACTATAGGATCGATTCCCGCTAGGAACCAAAGCAATTCACTGTTGCACCCAATCCACACTATGGGATTGATCCCCTCACTGGACCATCGTCATATCATCTTCTCTGGGCCGAAGTCCTAATAACATCACTGGATAAAAGTCCTAAACTATGTCATGAATGCATGATACGCAATAACATAAAACTAACGACCATGACTAGTTAAAATTGCATCATCGTTCATGATTACATCATCATATCAACATTATCATCATAGTAAAACATCATATCATCATAACATCGTATAATCAACACCATAATAGAACATCATAACATCGTATAATCAACATCATAATAAAACACCATATCATCACAACATCGTCATGCCATCATAATATCCAATCATTATCATATCACACAACATATCTTCAGTTCATCATATTATATACATGACATCATCATAATGTCTCCTAATCATCCTCCTTTCATCTTCTAATCATCTTAATTAACAAGCATCTTCGCGATCCAACATGGGGAACCTAACTTCATTTCTAGATTAGGTATTGGGGAAAATACTTCTTTCGTCTCATTTTTTTCCATCTAACTAGGGTTCGTTGTGTTAGCTACCATATGCTTCGAACTGTATCTCATTCCGAGTTATAAGACTCAAGTTATGAAACTTTTAAGAAAGTCCAAAACAACCAATCAATTCGGGACATCATCACCTAAAGCCACCTATCCATCGCCTGGTGACGCTTTCTTCGCCACCACCTTCGCCCGGAGACACTTGGAGCGACAAACTCCAGAAGCGTCGCTCTTTTTTGTCCTTCATCGCCCTCTTTTCCTGTTGCAATTTCCTGCATAAACCAGTCCAATTTTTCTACGATCTCAACATATTACAGGTCCTAAAACACCATCTAATCACAGGGTTTCATCATCTATCAACATCCTATAATTCTATATTCATTATACATCAATTATAAGTCATCATTCATCACCAACTCACTAATTCTTCATCAAACAACACCAAATCATCATCTACCAAAACCTAAGGCAATCTATCATCATCTAAACCTTAAATCAAATATAATAACAATGATAAAACTCCCCTCACCTTAAGATTATTGCTAGAGATCAATTCCTCTTCGTGCTCTACCGAGATTCCTATGCTTTTCTTGCTTCTTGTGCCCTAGACTTCTTTTCTCCACAGCGGCTATTCCAATTCCATGATCGCACATAATGATCGCATAAAATCTCAAACCTTCTCCTTATACCAAACTTGTCCTCTTAGACCCCTAATAATGAACTTCTCATCATGTCGTCACTTACCTTTCACTAATGACCACAATGCCCTTATTTTCTCTACCTCACACATTATTCTATTTATCTTAATTAAAATAATTCTAAATAATTACTTTAATTATTCTAAAAATACATAATTGGTAAATATCACCTAATTCCCTCTATACTACTTATAATAACCATCACACATCATAGTCATCAAAACATCACATCTGAACATCATAGTTATCTCAATCATCACAGTACACTTCATATTCATCATAATATCACAAATCACCATAAAGACTCACATATAATCATCAAAACACCAAATACTTCACATAGACTCATATAATCACGCTAAATTAATCAATTAAATAATTAATCTAGAATTCGGGGTGTTACACATTACATCTACCAATCAGAAGGTCCTGCTGCTGTGTTTAATCATTGTACCTGACGCATACAAATTACAAACACATGAACCAAAAGGTTGAGACACAAAATAAAGGGAAACTAAGGGACATAAGGTTGGTTTGGTGGTTGTGACGAGGGAGCTAAGAATTTAAAATTGTGAAAGCTCAAGGCTCCATTCATATATATTCTAAATCCATTTGAACAATTCTGACATTCCTTAATACAAAGGCGTTCATTAGTATGGTAAATAGATACATAAAAATATAAAATAGAATGATACAAAGGCGTTCATCCAAATGGAGGAAACATGTTGAGACAATTACTCACAAATATGTACACAAATCAAGCAACTATAGAAATTTTTTTATTTTGTATGAGAATCTGGATGGTATCATCAAATCTTCACCATGATATAAGCAATAATAATTATAATAGGATAACTCATAGCAAATGCCCATTATCAGGAATGGGGAATACAAGAAAATAACCTAATGTATTACACAAGTATATATGAATTTCCATTTACAACAGAAGGTCGGGACTCAGAACTTCAATCCAGTTAATAATACTCAGAGAGTATCATGGACTGATTCATTCGGTGGCTGGCTCCCCAGGTCTTCCATTAACTTTCCAAAGTAATTCATAGAATATGATTAAAATACCTTTATTCTCTTGTGCACTGAACAAATAAAAACATATATGAAAATATGATAGGATAGTTGGAAAATAATGATATTTATTCCATTGAAATTAGACAACAACTCGTGCAGACATGAAAATGAAACTCCCAAGTATGAATTCTCGGTAAAAAGTACAAATGCTTGGTAAATCTAGCCAAGTACTCCAAAAGCTCTGTCAAAATAGACGGGCAACTTTCCTTTAAGTACTCGAAACCATCAGTTTTCATCACAGCTGAAATAAAAGAAAAGAAACATAAAACTTTAGTTGATAATCACAGTTCTGGATGAAGAACAAATAGGTACCAGTACAATTTATCAAAGATATGGGTAGAATTGTAAAAGCCATATTCTATAGCATCCTAATTAAAAGATTTTAAGAATCATAACCACATTAAAATCAATATGCTCAATTTGATCCATCAGTTAAGTTTCAGCTTTTAATATATCCGAATAGTTTATCTCTATGAAATAGAAAAACTTTAAAAGATATGTCCAACTATTCTATAAGGTTGATTCTTGTTCGAACATTTTTCTTGTTCCAGGTTATTGTTGAGCAACATCCTAAGTGTATTGCTTTACTTGTTTGTTCATTAATTTGTAGTTTATGTAATATATGAATCCTTTATTCAGATTTAGTTGATATGAGTATTCCAAATCAATTTTAAACAATTATACTACTTCAAAATTCTATAAACTATAGCAGAAGATTAGCAAGACAAAATATTTACCTCATCTGATTAAATTACATAATCAAACGATAAAACGCCATCAAGCAAACACAACTTCTTTGGAACAGGAAAATCATAAAGAAGTGTATCTAACTGAAAAAGTTCAGATGCTATGAAGATGCCATAACAAATGCTATAAAGAATGATGCATGTACCAAATACATAGAATATATTAAAAAAGGGGATTTAATGGATATTCAATTTCCATGTAACATTTTACACTAATATTCAATGAAAATAGACTATTTTTCCATGTCACTCTACTTCTGTTGCTTCGACAAACGACTAAATGTGAAAGATATGTAGAAGGTAACCTTATCATCTTTTGCAACAATTTTCATTGTTGGTTGAGCTCCCACAACACTAAAACACCCTGCAATCATCCAATCCCAGATTTAAATCAAAATCATGAAACTATAACTTGTAGTATTTCTTATAACTTCCAATGTTGTACATTTGATGTGTAAGAGTCAAATGTAAATTTACATACAAAGAACCCAAATTGCCTACCTCTCAGAACCTGTGTTTGCGATATTGTGCTGATCTTACATTTATGATATCATATGCACTATTCAACAACTATGATCAATCTATTGTCTTCTTGCAATTTCTGAAATTCCAAAAAAGACAAGACAATGTAATTTGAATTTATGGCTGGAACATGCCACTAGATATTCAAACTTATAAAGACATCGCTAAAGAGAGAAACACAAAGGTGAATCTATATAACTGTACATTAGAATTATTCAATGAATATATATGAAATACAAGAGAAGATCTTATTTATATAATAATCCTAGAGACTACTATAGTAAATATGGAGGAAATCAAGTTCAATCACCCCAGGAGATGTACCTCTAACAGAAGCAATATATCTGCCGAGCTGTAAGTGGAACCGGCCCCTCTATTGATAACATCTTCTATGTTTGTGATATATTTTTTATCCAAGCGATTGGCTCGCATATGCTGACCATATAGGGAATTAAATGCTTCGATTCTGCATCTCACGAAGGCTTCGATTCTTCTTAAGCACTTCAGTCTGCAGTATTTGACATGTAAAACATAAGTATATGTGGTTTAATTCATGAGAGATGATTGATGTATATGAGCATCGTTATCCTGAAATTAAGTGAGAAGAAGAACATGTCAGCTCAACAAATTAGAAGAAATTTGTTAAAGGGGATAAAATCAATGTTTTTGTGTATGTTAGATCAACTACATGGATCAAAGAAAATACAATAGTTATTATATATAAATACATGAAACTGAACGTTGATTCTTGTGAAATATTAAAGGACAGGGTACAGTATGTTTTAGGGAATGAGAGAGAATGGTATTTCGTACATTTTGATTCAAGATTGGGTATTTAAAAGTAAAACAAATTAATTGAAAATATGTAAGAAAGTTATATAGATAAAAACAATAATTATTCACACCGAATGTGGCACGAAAATCTGTAACTATTTCAGCATGAATTGTATTGCTACTTTAAGCAACGTCAATAACCTCAAAAGAGAATTAAACTCATTTTTTATTTATTTATGGGTTACAATCAAAAACGTAAAATCAACAACAAAAACAAAACCAAAATACGGATTTAACTTTCAACCCAATTTATAATGTAGTAAATACCACGCATGTGAATATGGGAAAAATCAAAATAAAAAACAAAAAGGAAGAAAAACGTTTGTGAGGACTTTCAACAAACACGATAAGTGCATACAAAAAAGAAGAATCATGTGGAGATTGTGTATAATGAATGAATCACTTCATACAGTAGACATGGATTGAATCAGAGAAAAAGATTGTGAATTACCATGTGTTATTGTTGTTTCAGAGGCTATTTGGCAAAGGTGCACTGCATCTTTGACATGATGTCGACAAGAATCCTGCATTTCAATGCATAACTCACAATGAATGGACTCTTCAAGAATGGTTATGAACTAACCATGTAGAGTAGGAAAGTCCAACTAACTTAGAAAGTGAAACTCAAACCTTTTGTTGTTTGGCAATTTGGTCATAAGCTATCCCAATCAGTCTCAAGCAAGTACTTAAGTCAGTATATAAGTTCAAGTCAATCCAAACATGTCCTATCTAAAGCCTTGAGTTTCCCTGTTTCACATGTGCATAATACATCAAATAAGCACATAAATTTGACACTTAATTTTTTTTAAAAGAAGAATTACAAAGTTGATTGGTATCAGGTTTGTTTCATACATTTTTTATATTATTAAATGACATACAAAAATCCTAAAATCATGAAGCAGTAAATGAGATGTTGTTTCTCACAATATCAGGAGCTTCAACAACCTGAATCACTTTCTTTGTACCCAGAAATCATGAAACACCTAATTTATAGAAACCCTAATTTAAACCACCAAATCATGAAACACCAACACATACAACACGAAACCAATAAAACAACGATTAGATCTACAAATTGTCAATATAATAACTAACCAGGATGAGATCGAACAACATTGTTTGGTCAACTTTAACAAACTCGACATCCCACACCTTGAGTTCATCTCCAGAGGGGTTATACACAAGCAATTTCTTTACATGAGTAAAGGGTTGAAGCAGCACAATTTGAAATTTTTGTGTGCCACTTGAATTAGAGAATTTGATAATAGTTAATATTCTTAGTTAGATAGTTGATTTTCCACCAATATTTAATATGATCCTCACACCGGTAAAAGAAGTAGTGAAAACATAGAGGGATATGGTCCTCGAGCATTGTCTATAAAGTTTCCCTATAAAGCTTCATAAGCAAGATGCTTTCGCTATAAACCTTTGTCTATCTCTTCTTATACTTCGACTATCAAAATATTTATCCATTCTATTATTCTCACCCTCATCGCTATCAATTTGTCTACATAGTTCTCGCGCCTCTTCCTCTTTTATAGATCTCATCATATCTTCATCTTCGATTTTATGGTCTCTCGGTCACTCCATTCAAGAAGCTCTAGAAAAATAACAAATTTAGTATTAAATAAGTATAATGGATAAAGAAGTTGACACTTTAAGTGCTTGGAAAATCAAAAAACAATGTTGTTAGCTACCATAGACAAAATAATATACCTCATATGAACAGAGAGTCACAAAAATAAAACTAAAAAACCGAAATTCAATCATATATTTCTCGAACACAAACATAAATCTTAAAAAAATCAATAAATTCTCTAAAATCGTATTTCAATGTTGATCGTACCTGATCAGAATTGGACCGTCACAGATGGTTCGAACTGGATTTGAAAGGGATGGGATACTTACAAGACACTTCGATGATAAAGTAAGAGACAGAATGAGCAGGTGAATTGTATATAGGTGTGTAATGAATGAATACCTGACCCTCTTGAAATAGAGGGTATTTATAGCCTCCGGCGTTGGGCCAAGGTCCCTTTATTGGGCCGACCAAAATCGGCCCAACAAAGGGACTGTCAGGTTCTACGTGAGTAGTGGGGACCTGCACGTGATCCCCTGCCTGGATGATGCTCTGCGAAGAATAAGGAAGAACGAAGACGCGATCTTCCCGGGGCTCTAAGGACTCCGAAACATCCAGAGGGGCTGAGAATCTGTCCTACGGGGAGGGTGCTCGAGCGAGGCTCAGATTGGGATGTCCTTGGTCGGGGACGCCTCTCGTCGCGGGCAGCGGCGGGCATGGTCGTATTAGTCCTACAGCCCGTGACGGGGGTATGCTCGGGGAATCTGGTGCCCAGCATGGCACGTGGCACGGTTTGGATTGGGCCTTACTGGTGATTTGGGCCATTGGCAGGCCCAGTCCAGAACAGGAGCCCCCAAGTCGTTGCTCCTAGTGCAGGAGTTATGACTTGATCCAATTTCACTTTCGCGGGGACCTCATGCCCGATGTCGGGATTTTCCATGTCGAGGAGAGCTCGAGGAGTGCTCGCGGGGATGCGTCAGTTGGACACGTGGTGTAGTCCTTGGAAATCACAATGTCGTCCTAGAGAATAGGGTCATCATTGTCTAGAAAAGTAGGCGTCGAGGACGGGGGCGGTTCGTGGTTCCCCGGTGCGATGTTTCATATTCTACGTCATCTCTATAAATAGGATTCCAGGGCCCATGGTCCGTTTCACCTCTTCACGCTTCTCATATTTTCTCTGTTTTTACTATCGTGAGTTTCCATAACGCCGTTGAGACTGCCGCGCCGTTTGGCGTCCGATTACTTCCACCACCGTCGTTCTTCACATCTTCTTCCAAGTAAGTGTCCTTTCCCTTTGATTTCTCGCGTTGTAGATAGTTTTGACGACGTTTTGCTAGTAGAATCTTGTGTCTGGGGATTATGCCCGGTATATTTAAGCGCGCTAGGCGCCTGATTCATGGTTGTGCCCGGGATATTCATAAGTTTAGGCATATGGTTCATGATCTTTCCCGTGATACTCATGCGTTTTGGTTAGTAGATTCATGAACTTGACCGGGATATTCATCCTCTCGTCAGTATGTAGGCTAGTTTCCCCGTAGTATTCTTGTACCGGGTAAGCGAAATTATGAACTTGGCCGCGCGATTCATGCTTCGCCTGGGGTACTCATGTTACACTTGCGTCGTTCATGATTGATATGCGGTTGGCGCCGGGGTGTCGGTGTTTGGTTGAGATCCACTTGTTTCTCGTTTCTCTCACGAATGGTTGTAGACTCGATCTGAGTGTTGCTTACTTCTCCCTGTCTCTGTGGAGGGCACGCGGATTTGCTGTCGAATTCATCAGTTTCCTGTACTTTGCAGGTAAATGGCCGACACTCCCGAGTCCTCGGGGCGTAATGACGTCGAGGACATAAGCACAGCGGAAAAGACTATTACCCTGGTCGACACCGTCGATGACCCCACACTGGATTGGGTGGGTGCTGAGCTCCGGGGAATAGCTTCGGTGTATAGTCATCGCAGCAGACAAGCTTATACCGTCGTTGAGTACGGCGGTAATCAAGAAGGATTTCAAAGGAACTTTAAAATAATGAGGCCGGCGAGGGATGCTCGCATCTGTTCAAAGTTCACCCAAGATGCGTTCCCCATGTACGAGATCGTGTTCAAAGATCTTGGTCTTCGGTTTCCCTTCAACGACTTCCAGGTCAGGGTATTCAACCATCTGAACCTGGCCCCCTCCCAGCTCCACCCCAACGCGATTGCCTTTCTCCGGGCATTCGAGCTAACTTGTCGTTTCTTGAGAATTGGGGCGACGATTCCCCTGTTCTTCAGGGTTTTCCACCTGCAACGGCAGTCCCGAGGAGGGAAATATAGTTGGGTGTCCCTTAAGCAGTCGAAGAGACTGTTTAGGATGTACATGGACTCCGTGAGGGATTTTAAAGACAAATGGTATATATTGCAACCGTCCACCCAAACGGCCTTAGATTCTTTGTTCGAACCGGTCACTGTGGTCGACGAGGATGGGGAGCCCTGTTTGGACGCCGAGGGTAATCCCGAGGTCGGGCAGATTTCCAGGTTTCCCATTCATTGGTGCTCGGGTCATTACGACCATGGTCCTGGGCACTACCATACTCCTGCTGGGGGTATGAGTGCCGGGGACGAGGAGTCTTATGGCGTCCTGTTGGCTCCTAAATTCGACACCCACGTTCTATTATCATATAGATCATTAATTATGAGTCAGAAGAGTTTCCTACACAAGAAGGCTTCGGTCAGCTTATCACATCGAAGGCTCATCAAAGAATGACAACATACTTAGAGAAATTCCTCTAAGTTGGAATCATGTTGTCTTCGATGTCGAAGGAGCAACCTTTCGACCAAGGTCCCTGATGCCCAAGATCGAACAGTTTGAATTTTGAATTGTTGGAGGGAAAACGGTTCCCAGCAGTTACCAAGCGCAACGTGTCGTGAACGTAGGCGTTGAAGGTTGTGAGCGTGCCATGTGGTGTCATCACGAAGCGGTGTGACTGCCCAGTAGTTATTTATGATTTTTTTAGTATAAATACTAAGTGTTCACGAAGTTATTAGG